CGTCGCCATCGCGCGCGTCGTCGGGGGCGTCGGCGTCGACGGCGCGCGAGACGATCGCGCCGTCGCGCAGTCGCGATGGGCCACACCGGTCACGCCGCCGTGATGCCTTTCACATTCGACCGGTATCGACCGGTCGACGCCGCCGTGATGCCTTTCACGTTCGACCGGTCGACGCGCGGTTCGGGGCGATTGATTTACGTCGCATTTGAAATCGACGTCGAATCGAACGCCCCGTGGACCCTCGAACGCGCGCGCGCGCGGGCGTGCGACCGCGCGTCGAGCGCGGGACACCGCGCGCGATGCCGGACGGGACGACGCGGACGCGGACGCTCGGGAACGGGACGACGCGGACGCGGATCGATGGAATGTTCGAGCGGTGCGCGGCGTCGATTGAATCGCGACGACGGACGCCGAGCTCGGTCGTGCGCGATGGCGACGTGATCGTCGTGCGGTCGGTCGAGGGTGAGACGACGTCGCTGCGGGAGGCGTTCGAGGGCGAGGGGTGGGGGGCGGTCACGGGCGATGGGGCGCGGTGGCGATGCGTTCGAATCGAGACGCGGCGTCGAGGCGGAGCGACGCGCGGGGCGGGGGCGGTGCGCGTGGCGTTTCGTTCGATCGATGACGATGTCTCGCGCGGTGGTGGGAAGTGGGCGAGCGTGCGGGGGGATCGAAGGATGAAGGCGATCGGGTTCGAGAGCGCGGCGGTGACGAAGGAGGCGCACTGGGACGTGACGTCGTGCGCGCCGGACGCGAGCGGGAGAGGGACGCGGGTACGATTGCGCGCGCGCGCGGCGAGGGGCGTGCAGATGGAGGTTGTGATGCGACATCGCGCGTGCGCCGCCATCGAGGCGTTCGAGCGGTGGGGGGAGTACGAACGAGCGATCGAGGGGGGGCTGGCGTATCACGTCGAGCTCAACGGCGAGTGCGAGACGCTGCTCAACGAGCTCTCGGACGGGTTCATGAAAGAATTAACGGCGCTCGAGAGCGAAATTATCGAAGCCGGGAAGGTCAATTTCGGTAAGCGCGTCGTCAGTGACGAAAAGGAGCCGGATTCGCCCGCGGTGAATCCGTTCGAGGTGGCGTCACCGGCGCCGGCGCCGCCGCCGGCGGCGCACCTCGATCCGCTTCCGCTCTTAAATAAGCGATCGACGGAGGTAAATCCGTCCACACCCGCGGGTGCGATCAGAACTCGACGCAACAAAGTCACTTTCACGGATGAGTACCCGTCGCCCACGGATGAGGAGATTGCCGTCGTTCGGGACGAATCGTGGCGCTTCGCATCCACGGGGAAAAAGTCATCGCGGCCGATTAATCCGTTCGGATCTGAGACCCCGGCGACGGCTGAGAAGACGCCAGAGATGAGCGACTACTGGGATTTTGCACCATCCGACGATGAGTATCACGATGCACAGTCGTCTGGATCACTCACTCCGCAGTTGAGCGACGGTGCGACAGAGGTGAGACGGTCGATTACGACAACGACGACGACGCCGACGGAACAGACGGTGAAGGTTTTGTTCGAGGGCAAATACAATCGCATCGAGACGGAAGGTTTTGAGGTCGCCGCTATTCGTAAGAGCGGTATCGATCCTAGAGACGTCGTGTCCACTCCTGGGACGACTTCGGCAATGCTCAAATACGTTGGCCAAATGTATGTCTCCGAGTTCCGCTCGGAGATGAACATCCTCAACGTTCCGTACGTGACGCTGGACGAAGTCATCGTAGACTTCGTCGAGCTTGCGGCTCGAAAACGCAGAGAAGAGGCGATCAAAGATCCACGTCTGAACATCAAGGAAGCGCTCACGGAACAATACATCTTGTCCATGAAGACGGATGACTTCCTCGTGCTCCTCCACAACTACGGCGATGAACCCGGCTACGCCGAGGTATCGACGCTGAAGCGCGCGTTAGCGATCGCGATCACGACGAAAGGTGCTCTCAGTAGCTCGAGCGAAGACGAACGATACTAGTAGCGCTTTTCATTCATCTACGATGTACACAGTCACAGTTGTTACAAGACAAGCTCGCATGCGGTTACAAGACAACCTCGCATGCGACAAGCTCGCCTAGAATCTAACGAAGGAAAAGTTGAGGAACGAATTAGAGCTCGTGAAGAATACGAGCGGCGCCGAACTCGTGCGCCAATCCACAGCGATCGCAACTGGAACTTCGAAGTACTGGAAGATCCCCATCGACGGTGTGACGCATTCGATAGCACCCGAGTCGGCGACACGAGCGGCGACGGTGATAGCGCTGAACCGACATCCCCCGGTTCCGAAATCGTCTGTATCGGGCGTTCCTGTGGATCCTTGCGATACTAACCACGACATGGACGGATCGAGACGAACGGGCGTTCCACCTTCGATCGAACCACGCGTCGGCGTGATAGACGCTGATGCGACATTCACCGCGTAATCAATCGACGCCCCTGAATCGAGAGCGTTCGAGTACATCGTCGTCGCCAATGAGACGGCCGCGGTGCGATGCGAGTTCGCCACGACGACTTCTTTCGCAGGCGGAATCTCGCATGCGACAAGAGCCGAGCTCGCGCGCGCACCGCGCGTCGTCGCGCTCGTCGATTCGTCAGCCGTGAACATGCACTGCACGGGCGCCCCCTCGTTGGCGTGCAAGTTTGAGCCGTACACCCACGCTATTCCACCTCCCTCGCTCGGTGATCGTCTCGGCGCCGCGCTCGTCAAGCGTGGGGGGTCAACGAATGCTATCTGAACTACGGATTCGTACTGCCCACCAGTGATTCCCAGCGCGACGAATCCAACCTCAACGTTCAGCGGAAGCAAGCAGCTCAACTCATCCGCGAATGGGCTCGCATTCGCCGTCGTTGATCTAAACACCGAAGTCACGTCGTCGACCACGTAAGTCATCGTGCACATGAAATTTTCGGTGGAGAGTAACTTGAGCACTTGTTCACCGCGACCGAATAAGAAGACTTCGTCGCTCGTAATCGTGTACGGAGTTGGCGGTTCGTACGTCATTCCGGTATATTCAATGGCGGTCGATTGTTTCGTGACATTCGCGACGATGACCTCGGCATGTCGCACGCCCACGGCGAGTGGAACGTCATCGATCGCCGAAGCCGCGCGCGCCGGAGCGACGCACGTGATCGACGTCGTTGAAGCCGAGCGCGCGCTCACTCGAACCGATCCAACCATGCACCCCAAACTTGCCTCGTCGCCATCCGTCTCGCTCACGGTGACGCTAATCGTCTGTCCACCCATGAGGCCGTAATACCCATTGTTCACCTTGGCCGAGTTCGCGGTGAGCCAATAATTCTCTTTGTAGCGCACGACGTTCGCCAACCCGTCACCGTCGTCGCCCAGAACGCCCACGGTGAACCGCGCAAGCGTTGCCGTGGACGGCGTCGTCAACGCGAACACCGGAGACTCACACCTGTACAACGCCGAGCTAATAAACATTCCACTGTCCGCCATCGCCTCTCCCGGAGTTCCCGTCGACCGCATCACCCAACTCCCCGATGAATCTTTCGATTGAAAGTAACATCCCAACGTCCCGCGCGTGAAATCCGCGCCGTTCGCGTACGTCGGCATCCCCATCGGCGCCGCGCTCGACAACACCTCGTTCACAGTCGGCATCTTCATGAAATGCACTGTCCCATCGTTCGACGAAGCTCTCTCACCACCGAACACGGCCCAATCGTACCCCCCGTTCGCGCTCCAACTTCCCGTCGCGTGCCCGTGCGCCGGCGTTCCCGTCGCCCTGGAGTGCGCGTTCACCTCGCACGCAAACGTACTCGGATCGCTCCCCGTGAACACCGCTATGGTTCCACCCTCCACGACTCCACCAAACGCGCAGTACGTCGTCACGTTCGTTCCCGCGGCGTTACAGTCGTTACACGACGCGTCTCGTCCCGGTAAGAAATTCAACCCGTGCACGTCCACGCTCGTCACCCTCGACGCGAACACCGCCGGAGGAATCACGCACGCATCGAACGGGGGATAATGCCCCCCGCCCGCGCGCACGCCGTCCACCGACGACGCCGCGGCGACGCACACGAAGACGAAAACACCGCCGCACGCTCGAAACCACCATCGCCCCATCTCTCCCCCCCCGCGCCGCCACCCAGCGCTCACGGGCCCCGATCGCGCGCGACGATGCGCGCGACACCTTCTCGGACGTTCCGAGCGCGCGCCGCGCGCGCGCGCGTCGTCGTCGTCGCGCCGTCGAGCGACGCGCGTCCGCGGCCGAACGGCCCACGGTCTCCTAAACCCTAAACCCTACGTACACGTCGTTTCACACCGCGCGCGCGCGACGTGGACACACATGGGCGTGTGGTGTCCACAGTACGAACACGCACGCACACACGACCCGGAAAAAAGTTCAGCGCGCGCGCGTCGACGGCGGCGGCGGCGTCCACGGCGTCCGCGGCGGCGCTCCGCGGCGCGTCGGCGTGATAGCGACCGTCGCGCGCGCGAGCGATGCGCGCGCTCACCCTCGGCGCGTGCGCGCTGAATCAGTGGGCGATGGATTTCAATGGGAATCACGAACGCATTCGCGCGTCGATCGTCGAGGCGAAATCGAAAGGGTGTCGCTATCGCCTCGGTCCCGAGCTCGAGACGTGCGGATACGGGTGCGAGGATCACTTTCACGAGAGCGATACGGAGGCGCACGCGTGGGAGATCATCGCGCGTTTGTGCGCGGAGCCGGGGTTGTTGCGCGGGAGCGCGATGGTGGCGGACGTCGGCGCGCCGGCGACGATGGATGGATGTCGATACAACGCGCGCGTGATCATCGTGGATGGGAAGATTGCGTTGGTGCGACCGAAGCGGTCGTTGGCGGATGATGGGAATTATCGCGAGTCGAGGTGGTTCACGGCGTGGACGCGGACGAACGAGACGGCGACGTGGAGGCTTCCGGATTCGTGTAGAGGATTGGCGTACGACGGCGGCGACGAGGTGCCGTTCGGCGACGGCGCGGTGGTTTTCGACGATTGCGGATTGGGGTGCGAGACGTGTGAGGAGTTGTGGACTCCGGACGCGCCGCACGTCGCGTTGGCGCTGAATGGGATTGAAATAATCGCAAACGGAAGCGGGTCGCATCATCAATTGAGAAAGCTCGACGCTCGGATGAGTCTGATACAGAGCGCGAGCGGCAAGGGTGGGGGGATTTATCTGTACGCCAATCAGCGCGGTTGCGACGGTGGTAGATTGTACTACGACGGATGCGCGTGCATCGCGGTGAACGGGAATATCGTAGCGCAGGGGAAGCAGTTTGACGTGAGCGACGTCGAGGTCGTCGTCGCCACGGTGGATCTAGACGAGGTTCGCTCGTATAGGAACTGCTTCCAGTCGATGAGCGTACAGGCGGCAAAGGTGACGCCGATCTCGAAAGTCCGCGTTCATCAACGACTGTGCGTTCCGGACGATGTCGGGCGCCTCGAGCGACCGAAACTCAGCGCCCCGCGTGATGTGGAGTTTCACTCACCCGAGGAAGAAATCGCGCTCGGACCAGCGTGCTGGTTGTGGGACTACCTCAGACGATCCGGCGCGAGCGGCTACTTCTTACCGCTCTCTGGAGGCGCCGACTCCTCGAGCACGGCCGCGATCGTTGGATCCATGTGCCAGCTCGTCACAAAGGCGGCGCGCGAGGGCGACGAAGTCGTCGCGATGGATATTCGTCGAATCGCGCAGCTCGCTCCAAACGCGTCGATTCCTAGTGCGAACGAGCTCGCCGAGTTGATATTTACCACGGTGTATTTGGGTACCGATAATAGCAGCGCGGAGACGCGGGCGAGGGCGAAAGCGTTGGCAATAGATATCGGCGCGTCGCACCTCAGCGTCGCCATCGACGTCGTCGTGACCGCCGTGGTGACCTTTTTCACCATGGTGACAGGGAAGACGCCAAAGTTCAAAGTCGACGGTGGCTCTAACCCCGAAAATTTAGCGTTACAAAACATCCAGGCGCGCGTGCGAATGGTTCTGTCGTTCCTCTTCGCTCAGCTCTTGCCGTGGGTGCGAGGCAAGTCGGGCTTCCTTCTCGTCTTGGGTAGCGCCAACGTGGACGAGGGATTGCGAGGATACATGACCAAGTACGACTGTTCCAGTGCGGACATAAACCCGATCGGGGGCATTAGTAAGGGAGATCTCCGCTCGTTTCTGCGCTGGGGATCGGTGAATCTTGGATATCCCACGCTAGCGGAGGTGGAACAAGCGCCGCCAACGGCTGAACTTGAACCCATACGTGACGATTACGTGCAGACGGATGAGGAAGATATGGGCATGTCATACGACGAGCTCGGTGTTTACGGTCGACTACGGAAGATCTACCGCCTCGGGCCGTTTTCCATGTTCAAGAGACTGTACATCGTGGATTGGGCGGATAGAGGACTTAGCGCGAGCGAAGTCGCGGAAAAAGTGAAGAAATTTTTCTTCTTTTATTCGTGCAACCGGCACAAGATGACCACGCTCACGCCGTCCTATCACGCCGAGAATTACTCTCCTGATGATAATCGCTTCGACCAGCGACAGTTCTTGTACAACGTTCGCTGGCCGTGGCAATTCAGAAAGATTGACGAGTTTGTTGCTAAGGAAAAGGAGGGATGAGCTTCAACTGGGTAGTCGACGACTATGACATTTATAAAACTACATCTGGACAGCTATGTGAATCAAGTCAGCCTTGTTGGGTTTGGCGACAGTATCGTCTTCGTACAGCCAGACGTCTTCGAGCAGACGCGGGGTTCTGTACATGTTGCCCACATCGGGGCCTTTGTAAGGGACGATGAACGTGCGCTGGCGCCTCTGTTGATAGAGTAAATCCTTCTTTTGCGCCTCTCTCCGGAGAGCCTTCTGGAGATCTTTGCCGCGCAGGACTCGTGTCACCTTACTTGTCGCCGGATCGACCTCCACGGTAGGACCTCTGGAGAGGAGAAGCGCGCGTCGCCTGGTCACGGAGCGCACTAGACCTAACCGCTTGTGGAACAAATCCAGCGCCGCGCGATACTCCTTCTCCTCCTCCGTATCAATCTTCGAAATCGCGGCGTCACCCTGCCGTTTCCCCAAATCTCCTTCCAGGCGTTCGCGCTTCGCTGCGTTCGCCCGTCGTATCTCTCGCTGCGTCAGCGCGTTTCTCGCCGCGAGCTCCATCCGCCGAGTATCCTTCGCCGCCGCCGCGCGTTGCTTCCTTCGCTCCTCCTCCGCCGCCTCGTTCCATTCCGCCTCCTCCGCCGCCGCCGCTCGAACCCATTCCTCCGCGCTCACTCTCTCCCCCCGCCCGCTCGCCGTCTCCTTCTCCCGCGCCGCCCGAAGCTCCCAGCTCAATCGTCGAAACTCGCAAAACGCATCGACGCAATTCTTATGCACCCGACAGTTCGCGTACGCCTCTCGCGCGATCCGCCCCTCGACCGCGCCGTGGACTTTCGCGTCACTCCTCATCCGTCGCGTCGCGTCGCCGCGATGGATTCGATCGACCCACCGCGTCGCGCGCGACGCCGCGTCGCGCACCCGCGTCGCGCGCGACGACGGATGGATTTTCGACGCGTCGATCGCGCGCGCGGCGGCGTCCCGCGCGTCGCGCGGCGGCGTCGCGGGGGACGACGACGCGCGATGTGCATCCGGAGAAGACACAAAGCCGTGCGACGCTGACGCTGCGAGCGTTACGACCGTTTTCACCGCGCGTCGCGTCCAGAAGACGACGTCGCGCGACGGCGCGCGATGCGCATCCGTGAGCTCTCGGACGGCGAGGACGGCGACGATGGTGATGCCGATCGAACGCCCGAGACGGACGGGACCGAAGCGGATGGGGAGGAGACGACGCGTGGGAAGACGACGGCGGCGATGCGAGAGATGGTGGAGCGACTTCGAGTGATGGGGCGAGAGATGGCGCGCTCGACCGGGATCGTGGACGCGGAGGACGCGCGAGCGATGGAAGAGATGGAACCGCGGTATTACGAGTCGAGAAAGTTGGAGTACACGAATGGAGACTCGTACGAGGGTGAGTGCGTGAACGAGACGCGACACGGACGCGGGAGACACGAGTGCGCGACGGGGGACGTCTACGACGGGGGATGGCGCGATGATAAGCGACACGGGAGAGGTAAGATGATTTTTGCGTCGGGGTTGACGTACGAGGGCGATTGGGAGGACGATAAGACGTGCGGACGCGGTGCGTGCACGTACGTCAACGGCGACGCGTACGACGGCGAGTGGAAGAACGACCATCGATGGGGTTGGGGCTCACAGAGGTTCGCCAACGGCGACGCGTACGAGGGTGAATGGGTGGACGACGTGATTGAAGGTCGAGGTTTGTACACGTTCGTGGACGGAGCGACGTTTAATGGGACCACGCTTTCGGGATTGCGCGTGCGCGGACGCTTCGCGAACAAGGACGATTCCGTGGAGTACGATGGTGAATGGAAGAACGATCTTAGACACGGTCGAGGGAAGTTCGTCCTCGCCGGCGCGTACAAGTACATCGGACAGTGGCAAGATGATTTCCGGCACGGTCGAGGGAAGTGTGAGTTCGCCGACGGTTCGTCGTACGACGGCGAGTGGGTGAACGATGAATTTCATGGACAAGGTGAACTCAAAACCGCCATCTACGACTACGTCGGCGCGTTCGAGAGCGGTAAGCGCCACGGAAACGGTGTGTGTAAATTTACCGATCAAACGTGCGAGTATCGCGGTGAGTACCAGGAAGGTCTCGAACATGGTAAGGGAAAGCGCCTGTACGCCGACGGCTCGATGTATCAGGGCGAGTGGCAAGACGGGAAGCGACACGGAAAGGGAGCGTGCGCGTACGCGAACGGTGACGAGTACCAAGGGGAGTGGGCGAACGATGAGCGTCACGGGTACGGCGTGTGCGTCTTCTCCGACGGGACGAAATATCGTGGGGAGTGGGAGCGCGATCGCTGGTGTCAGAGTTCCGCGGATCCCGACTTCACGCGCGTGTTCGGCCCGGGCGTGGTCAAGGCCACCGCCGGCGTCGCTGCCACGATCGGTATCGAAGCGCGAGACGAACTAAAGAATAAGCGCTTGAGCGGCGGTGACGTCTTCGCGGTGAGACTGACGCTCTTGGGTTCGCTCGATTCGGATGACGATCCCGTGGTTGAACACGGCACCGTGATGGACAACGGCGACGGAACGTACGTGGCGTATTACACGTGTACAGTCGCCGGCGCGTACTCCTGTGAAGTCGTCATAGGAAACGATGAGCAGTGCGGACAATCACCGTATGACGTAGTCGTGGAGCCATCGACGGCGAACGCGAAACACTGCGTCTTGTCCGGTGAGGGAATGCGTCGCGCGCGCGTTCGCAAGCTCGCTGAATTTTTCGTCGACGCGCGAGATGAGTTCGACAACGACGTGCGAGGCGAACTGTGCGAGCAGCTACCACTACACGTCACAATCACCGATGTGAACGGACACGAAGTCAGCACCGTGGATGGGATTCAGATCGAGGATACGGGTGACGGTCGATTCGTCGTGGCGTATTCGCCGAGTGCGCCTGGTTTTTATCGCCTCATCGTCTCATGTCAGGACGTTCTCATGGGGTCGAGTCCGTACGCCCTGCGCGTGTTCGACGACGATGAACAAGAAGACGATGCTTTCGTCGCCGATGGATCGATCGCACCCGCGCCGAACGATCTCATACGAGACTGGGAGCGCATCGCCAAGACGGATTTTACCCACGACGGCGACGACTTCGGCTGGGACAGCGAACCGTCCGACAACGAAACCGAAGAGGAACGAATACTTCGCGAGAACCCAGACATGGCCGTAGTGTCAAATTACGAAGACCTCTACAAGGTTGGTCGTCTGCACAAGCGCATGAAGGAGAAGCGCGCCGCCGAGCAGGCAAAGAAACTCGCCGACGTCAAGGCAAGCTCGACGCCTTGTCCGTCGCGAGAGCGTCGTCCGCGGAGCCGGCGGCGCCGAAATCTTTAAGAGGGATCGATTAATGTCACGTCACGACTCGTCCCTCGAACGAGAGCCCGCCGCTCGTCGTCCGTCTCTTCTTCTTCGTTTCCTGCAGCCTCACTTTGTGACTCCCATCGCCCGTCGCTCCGACCGCACAGCCTCGCTCGCGACCGGGCCGTCGTCGCCCGTCGTCCGCGGTGACTCCGCGCGCGTGCGAATCGCACCGCGCGTCGCCGCGCGAGCGTTGGTTTTCGCTCGGATGAATTAGTGTGCGTTGAAAGTCTCGCGAGGCAGTCGATGACGGGTGAGAGAGCGAGCGAGGACGCGTCGTCGAGCTCGGACGACGCGCGTGAACGCTCGCGAGCGCTGGCGAGGGATGGTGCGCGCGAGGGGGGCGCGGAGGCGTGGATGACGCGAGCGGGGGTGATGGTTTTGGTGCTCTGCGGGACGCCGGCGGTGGGGAAGACGGCGCTCGCTCGGGCGATGGAAGCGACGCGACCGGATGGGGTGGATGTCGTCGCGCGCGTGAGTTTCGATGACGTCGAGCGGGAGGGACGAGCGGACGGTGACGACGCGGCGTTCGATCCAGCGGCGTGGCGACGGGCGAGAGCAAAGGCAAAGGCGAACGTCGCGAACGCGGTTCGAAACGGCGTGACGAGCGGGCAGCGCGTCGTCGTGATCGTGGACGATAACATGTATTATAACGGCATGCGGACGGAGATGTTTCGACTCGCGCGGGATCACGGAGCGGCGTGCGTAGTGATGCACGTCAGGGCAAACGCGGAGACAGCACGCGCGCGAAACGCGCAGAGGGGTAGAAGTGAGGTCGTGGACGCGCGCGCGTTCGATCGAATGGTCGACGCGTTCGAGGCACCGATATTGACCGAACCAGGGTGTTCGACGAATATGCCCGCGTTCGAGGTGGACACGTCGGTGTCGTTTCCGGACGCGCGCGACTGTTGGGACGCGGCCGTCTCGCGCTGGGGCGCTGCGCCGCTGTTACCGGAATCTGAGCACGAGCGAGAGCGCATCAGAGAGCTCGCGCGCGCTGAAACCGCAAAATCGGCATTGCACGCGCTCGATGGTCGCGCCCGCGCCGCGGTATCTCGTGCGGTCGACTTCGCGAGACGATCCGCCTCGGACGTCACCCTCGTCGCCGAATCCTTCAACCGTCTCCGTCGCGACCTCCTTCGAGATGCCCGCGCGATTGACCGATCGACCGACGATGCGTTCGAGCAACTTGCGATATTAGAGCGTCGATTCATCGATGCATTAGTGATGTAGCCTAGATCACCCGTGTTTTTGTCTCCATCGCAACTCGCGCAGAGCGTCGCTTTGAGTAACTCAAGGTGAAGCGAAATTTTAGGAGCTCGGATCCGGTGAACTAATGGGTACTTAGTATTTATTTATTCATAGTGTGCGCTGCTGTCGCGGCTTGGCGTCAAAACTAAGTGCTTACGCATCGGCCGTTTTGCGCACCACCTTGACGTGCAGACGCGAGCGGCCGCGATCAGCCGGCGGTGTCGCTTGCCCGTAATTTTCTTGAAAGAACACGAGCGCGTGATTGCGCGAAAACGCATTCATTCGCGCGCGAGCGCAGACGACAGCTTTGCCGATAGTGGCTCCCAACTGCGTCGATCCGCAAAACGCGACGAGAGAGGTGCTGAAACTTGGGCGACCCTCGCCGAGGAAGGTGTCTCGTTGCTCTTGACGAAGAATGGGACCGGCCACGATTGCATCAAAGTTAGGACGAGCCATGTGAAGAGCCCCACTTTTATATAACGCGGTATCTTTTACCTGAGCTATCAGGGCTTCGTTTTCATAAGCATCTTTGCTCGTGCAGTGCACTTGAATGTCGACGAAATGTTCGGCCAAGCGACCGAACTTCCCTGTTAGCGTGGTATGGATTGCGTCCAAATCGCTCCAAATGACGCCACAGAAATCCGCCATGGGTGTAACGAATATTAACGTCAGTTTTTGCAGTTTTGAGGAGGAGTCCCCAGTTCGGGTGAGATACGACGCCGCCGCTCTCGCTCTGGGTGTTCCGTCCAACAAAACGTCCGAAGCGATGCGCGCAAAGCGGTACAGGGAGAGAGCGCAGTATCCCCAACGCGCCATTATAGACCAGCCAAGTTTATCATCAACGATTCTATCGTACATCTCCGCGAACGCCACAGTGGAGGCGGCAAGCGCGACAAAATCTGAGTACCAAACAGCAGTGCTCATCCGGGAATGTGCCCAGTGCAAGAAAAAGTAGCAGTGACTGACAAAGAACAACCACAGCGGGACCTCTCGCATGGCCTGCGTCGCGATGCTTGAGTTGACGCATACGGAAATCAAAAATGACATCGCCGTCAGGTCCGCAAGGGGGAAGATCAGTTGTGAAAAGTCCAAGTTATGAGCCCTAAAATTCCTTCGCATCTTTCGGCGGAAGTACATCTTTGTCGGATTCACACCTGGCTTGCGCAGCTGTTCGGCACGGAAACTGTTTTGCTTGTAAACGATGACATCTCTGAAAGAGTGGCTTGAAACCCAATTCGTCTTAAGTGTCTTTAGACGCTCGGGTTGTACGCCTCGAGTACCCGAGAGGTACGCACGCCAACTGAAAAGACGCGTGAAGAGCGATCCCTTCTCCTTGATGTAATTCTCGGTAAAATCACGCACTTTGTCCATTCTTTCTTCGCGAATGAGGGTGTGCTGTCGTGCATCGAGCCTAATCAAGTCACTCACGAATGACTTCGCGAGTGAAAGCATGGGCACGATGCCTGTCCCGGAGCCGATGGCAATGACTTCGGTCTGATCTTGAATATTGTTGAATCCCGTGCCGTACGGTCCATTGACGGCGACAATCGGTTTGAAACCCGATTTAATATCTCTCCATAGCTTGTGCGTCCAGCTGTCACTTCCATCCATTCGACTCGAACTCATGACCTCGATGAAAAAGTCGATTGTTTCATCGTGCGGGCTGCTCGCGATTGAGTACGGGTGCCACGTGAGATCGATGGACTTGACGCCAAGAAACACGTACTGACCAACGCGGAAGACAAACGCCTTCGGTCGATGCAGTTTGAGATGCACCACTTTCCGCGCGTCGAGTTCATCGGAGCCAAGCGCGTGCGCTTCAACTACTTGACAGTCGCGAGTGTTGGAGATTGCCTGCATGCGATCGGTGAAATACCAAACGAGCGAGGCTGAGAACCATTTGAAATTCTGGGACCGAACTTTACCCGCGCGAAACGCATCATCCAACGTGTGTGCGATGGCGAGCGCAAACATGACGAACACCAGGTGATGGACGACGTAAAAGATTTCATATTTGATGCGGTTACGCATATACGAGGTGATGGCGACCAGGAGGAGACAACCCATGATCGTGAGCCCGGTGATCATGATCTCGCTTTGCATCTTTTTACAGAACGTGTTCACGCCTCCCGGCGTGGGTTCTTTACCGCTCACCTGCTGCGCGCACCCTTGACCAAAAAACACAAAGAACAGAATCGTCGCGCCGAACACAAAGCTCACCATGACGTACCCGAGATGAATATGCATCGCGACAACCTTATGCAGCGGTAAAAATTTGCGTGCAAACCACGTCTGCGACACCACCGCCACCGTCTGTCTCGCCATCGTGAGCGGTAACAGAGACATCTGGAACAAGATCGCGTGCATCGCCCCAAACTCGATCGGCGGCGTCAATCGCTTCCACCAGTACATGTTCGCCCCGATCGGCACCGCCTTCTCCACCGCGCGATACTTCGCGTAAAAGAAGTGCGCCCACACCACCAACGTCGCCAGCGCGTGCGCGCTCGCCAGGAACACCAACGCGCGTTGTTCATACACCGCGCTCAATCGTCGCGCCCCGCTCGACATTTCCTCCCCCGCGCTCACCACATCCGTGTACGCCAGCGCCCGCATCGCCCGCAGCTTCGCCAGCACCGCCCGCGCGACGTACGTCGTCCGCGCCCGTCCGCGCGCCATGTCGCGCGCGCCACCGCGTCGGCGAACGCCGTCGTCGATGTCCACGCATCCACGTCAGCCCGATGGCGCGCCCGTTGGGTGTTCGCGTCACGCCGCGTCCCCGTAGTCGCGAGTGATTTCACCCATCACCACCTGTGCGTCTCGCGTGCGCCTTAACCCTACGGCACGCACGGAAACGCGGGATTGGATGGATTCGCTTCGGAACGTTCACTATGGATTTTGACTCCCACCACTCAAGAAGAGTACCCCCCCAGGTCGAGTCATGACTTCACGTAGAAACTTGAGTCATGAATCAAGATGGAGTGTCCGGGGGTACTCTGGATGAATCTGATGTAACATGCATGTATCTACAACTATTCATCGCGACGCACGTCTTCGCTGCCTCGTCGGCGCGGTATCCGCGCACAC